TGCTATGGGGGAACCTAGAAGAACTGAAGGGTCACTTTACTCTGATGAATACTGATCACATCACACAGCTGTACATGCATCCAGACTTTCCACATATATATTAGTTTCCCCAGGTTTCAACATAGAGTTGTCACAGATTTAAGATTTAAGTTAATTCTCCTGAAATCATGATCTTAATTCATGTGTTCAAGGAATCTTATCAAAATACAGAAATCTAGGTCTGATGACTACCCCGTTGCTACACTCCTATTTCCCATTCCCATCAGTCTTCTACTTCCTCCGTCACAGACGTGCAGCTATCAAGCTAGACTTATAACAAAGATTACCACTCTATTTAAAAATGCCTGGAAAATGTACTCTCTTTGATGAACGCAAAGCCTCTATGAACCACATGGGGAGGGAAGGCTCCCAGGTGATGCTGATGCTGCAAGTCTTAGAAGAAACTTGCATTTAGCAAGGTGCTCGTGCACAGAAAGTCGTGACACAAAACAAGGTATGTTATGGTTTTTTAAAAAACAAAGGGGAGTGACAAACTGTAGAGCTATAATAAACCGGGACGATTAATTGGTGGTTATTCTAACCTTATAAATAGGAATCAGAGGGAATAGCTTTAGAACAACAAAATGGAACAAGGAACAAAGACAAAAAGCAAAATCGGGCTGAATTTCTTGCTCATCTTTCTGACGTGAAACACTTAAGAAGCTGTTTATTGTCTGAGGTAGAAATTCCTTCAGTAATTCCTTGCTGTCCAGATTGTTTGAGAGCTTTTTGTCCAACCCTACACACAGTCCACCTCTGTCCGTCCTTTCTGGCTCCATCACAAAATGCCTCTCCAACCTTTCTGATCCCACCTGGGAAGCAGATAGGGAAGCGAGGTTTAGTGGGGGCTAGTCCAGAACTTGCTTTCAGCAGAGAGAAAGAACCCATAAGAGCTGCAAGGTCAATCTGTCTTTACAGAACCATCTTATATGGAAATAATGGCAGTTTGTCACCAGGTAGAAGAATGTTGCTGTTAGTTCTGGGATATGATATGATGCATGCAGCTGGAAAGATTTGAGATTGACAGACTGAACAGTAATTTTCAGGAGGAGAGTTGGTCCAAGAATATTAGGAAGAGGGCAAGGGTGTGTCTGGCTTTTACTGAGTGGGCCATAATCATGGAGGATGAGTCAAAGGAGGCTGACTTGCTCACCATGAAAGAAAAACAACCCGCCACTTCTTGAAATGAGAGTGATCCTTACGAGCTGCGTGGAGGCTAAGAAGAAAAGCTGATGCTGTCTAGAGTCCTCGGGGTTGCCATGATGAAGACGAAACACCTTGCACGTTAAAGATATAACGGCAGAGTGAATGACCTTTGAGGAGAGGCTGAACCAGGCCAATATGATCCTTAAATCTCTTGGGAACAAAATGGGAGGATGACTTAAGAGTCTCGTTACTCTTTAGTTCTACTGACTCAGGAGCTCACGTCCTCGAACTTCTGAGTTTGCTCTAAAGCATTAGGAGACCTGAGGTGGTACCTGGCCATGTGGCCTTGGACAAGCATCAAGCTTTCCTGCACCGCAGCGTTTCTACCCAGAAAAACAGAAGAACATTTTTGTTCAGAGACTTCTTCAGAAACTGCACAATCTCACTAGGCTTCTGGTGGTGGCATGAGCACCACAACTGACTGAAGAGCGACTGGAAGCAGGGAAGCAGGCAGTGTCGCGGGTGGAGGATTTCAGTTTGAGCTCTGCCTGTACGATGTGTGCTCATCCACGGGGATGTGAAGCTGAGATCAATGCACACCCTGGTGGGTGTGGCTTGGGCCCAAATGCTCAAGTGGAAGAGGGACTTGATGTGAAGGACATCACAGCTCATGAGGGTAGTATGTCAATATCCTCATCAGACTTCCGTCTGCCTTTCATGGCTCATTCCTTAAGGAAGTTAAGTTCTGGGTGGCCAACAAGACACCAAGATTTTGGTGGTACAGACCTTGACTGAGGTGTATGATCTCAGGGGACATTCTTCACGCATTCATTTAGTCAATGAACACTTACTAAGAGCCCACTCTGTGCGGGGCTGTCCTGGACTATGTGGGTGATAATAACAGCAAGCACCTGTCATTATGTGCCAGCACCACTCCAGAGGCTTTTCATATGTTAACTTATCTGTTCCTCGCCACAACCCACAAAGTAGAGCTTATAGTCACCTGCATTTCACATTAGGCACTGAGAGGTTAAATACGTTGCTCGAGATCACATAGCTAGCAGGCTGAGTCGGACTTCGAGCACAGGCCCCAGAGCTCATGCTGTTACCTACCAGGCAGCAGTAACTATGACAGGCAAGATCCCTGTCCTCATGGCCCTGCTGCCCCACAGAGGAGGGAGAAAATAGACAAAGCAATGTGTCATGTTATTTTAGGTACTGATAAGTGCTCTAAGGAAAACTAAAGCAGGGGAAGGGAAGGCGGCTGTTTTAGACAGTGTGGTCAGGGAAGCCCTCCGTGAGAAGGTGAAATCTGAGCACAAGCCTGGAGAAGAGGGGAGGAGAGCTATGGGAAAGTGTGGGGAGGGATTCTCCAGGCAGAGGTGAGGACAGGCTGGGTGTACACCAGGGGCAGAAAGAAGGGAATTGAGCTCATTTGAGGAGGGAGACGAGAGCAATGGAGGGCCTTGTGCAGATCTTACTGTCAGGTGCTAATGAAGCTCCTGAAGGGTGTTGAGCAGGAGAATAACCTGATCTGATTCTTTCCTCTGAAAATGATCACTGTGGCCATGTTGTGTGGAGAACAGACACACAGGGAGGCAAGTTAGAAGGCTGCCACAGAAGACTGTGTGAAAGAACACACTCTCTACCTCATTTTAGGCCTTCAGATTAAGGTCAACCTATTCCAGCTTGCAGTAGGGTGGCTTGGGGAACCCACCACATCTTGTACTATAACTATGATAAATATTGCACTTGGATTCAGGAAGTCTTGATGTGAGAGGGAATTGGGCAGAAACTTCCCAGCCGCTGACATATAATTGGATAAGTAGTTCTCCGATGGAATGAGAATGCTTTCATTTGTCAGGGCCTCTCTGAGGAGGTGATAACATGCCATTGTACTAGGTCATGGCAGAACAAGTCCTAGCCCTGCAAGCAGGCAGCATGCATTCCCCCACCAGGAAGGTGCAGTCACCAGGCCGTCCTCGGGAGGGCACCCTCACCCTGCACACCATCCAGCTGCTCCAGGATGTGTTGAGTCTGGAGTGTGCATTCACTAGGGATGTCGGGTGAGGCCACGATCTAGTCTTTTTTTGTTCTGAAAGGGTAGTTTTAGCATTTGATACCAAGAAGTGACACAGATAATTAGACACAGAAGAAACAGTGGCCCACAGATTATTTAAAAGCCCCCTTTTCTATGCAGATGATACTCTGATCAACTTTACACTAAAGAGGGCCGAGCCTGTGGCACACTTGGGAGAGTGAGGCACTGGGAGTGCAGCAGTGCTCCCGCCGCGGGTTCGGATCCTATATAGGGATGACCAGGTGCGCTCACAGCGCTCACTGGCTGAGCGGGGTGCGGCCGGTCTCAAAAAGGACAAAAAAAAAAAAAAAAACTTTACACTAAAGATAAAACCAGCCTGTTTTGGAGATACTTGCCAACTTCTACACAGAGAAAGTGCCAAAGAACTAAATCTTTCTGAGTTTATGTAAAATAAGGACACAGGCTACTTGTTTTTCTAAGTTCCACTGCTAAAGGATTCCATAAAATTCAACCACGGGTGCCTGGAAAATGCCATCATTCTAGAGTTTTCAAAATGTGACTCACATCTGCCACTCTCAAAGTATATGTAAATGTGCAGATCAGTTTCTCTTCCTGGCTCCTCTATTATCATTGCATGCTTTTAGTTAAAGATCATTTCCTAGGCCTGTCCAAACTTGGCAAAGTTATTCTATTGCTAGATAACTGTAGAACTCATGGAGGAGTATTAGAATCTGAAATGTTATTCTAGAAGGGACTGTTCCATTATGTAGGAAATATAACAGGACTATTAATCTTGACATAAAATACAAACTACAGTTTTTAATACTGCTGCTTTTGTGCATTCTGTTTAGAGCCAAGCATGAAGAAGCGTCGGGGAAAGACTACAGTCTGATGTAATGTCAGCCAAGCTGGCTTTCCAAAATACTTTAGCAGAACTTAGGAAAACAAATTTGCTTCAAGTAAGAGAGTAAAACAGAGGAAAGCAGAAATGGAACTTACGGCATGAGTGTTGCAAAATCCAAGAGAAACAGTGAAAAGGGTGATTTTTTAGAGGTTTGGTGAGAAAACCAATTGATGGATGGCTACTTTAGCCTTTGATGCTCTAATTACTTTTGCAGATGACAGATACATCACACCACCCAAGAGACCATGCTGCTGCGGATGTTCTACCCACTCTCAGGAGAAACAGAAAAGCACAAATCAAGGTGATCCCTGCACTGCTACAAAATGAAAACAAAAACACCTTCCAGGGTCCTTTACAGGGTCAGCACCCAAGCAGCTGTGCTTTATACCACCTGCAACTGCACCTGTACCTGCTGTGTGGTAACATAATTCAAGTTCATCACCCATGATGGTGTCTTCAAGAAAAGGGCAACATTATGCTTATCTTGAATTATGATTTAAGAACACTAGGAAAAGGAGGATATATTTATTCTGATGTATGTTCACATATAAATGTGCAGTACATCTTACAAAGACTTAAATTGGGGAAAAAAAGATATATTGCAGTTTGTCATACTTAAAGCATCAACGTTTATTAAACTATGAGAACCCTGCTTCCCAGAAGGATGCATTCCATGGAAATTCTAGAAAGCTGGTATTTTCCTCATGTTCTCCCTAAATTTGATAATATGAGAGTTCATCTTTCTATGTCTGTATTAGTAAAAGGAACAGAGTTTCATGATCCTGTGGTGTAAATCATAAACACCAAAAGCAGTGATGTCGAATCAAGGGGGACATGTCAAGGCTTAAATCTCTTAGTGAACCATCTTACCTGTCGACGAATTATTTCCAGGTCTCTTTTGGCTTTATTCACTAGGGTTTGAATTTCTACAGGATCCTTTACATTTTTGTTTTCTCTGAAGGCATCTCTTATCCTCCTGACAGCATACGTTCTAAAGGAATTCAGAGAGAGAAAAAAAAAAGAAAAGGTGTCAGTATGTCTTGAGTCTATGCTTTTAAAAAAAAAAATGAATTTAAAATATTTTGCTTTAGAATTAATGGTCTAATATTCCCCTATGGATAATCCACTTTGATCTTTGCTCATGGGACAGGCCAATTCATTACTATTCTGGGATGACTAAGCAAACAGATTTAGGAAGATAAATCTACTCCAAACGAGTCATATACAAATGGCAAGCTGCTACTGAAATGCTCCTTAGGTTTCTGGCTTTTTATTCACGTCTGGCTTCCCTCCATTAACTTGGATAATTAAACCCTTATTGTACAGAGAAAAATTAAGAATTCAGACTTTAAATGATACAACACATATGCATGTACCAAAACAGTGATCAGCTTTCCAACCCATGTCCCATCTTTTGGCTTTCACTTTCCCTTCAGTGACAGAAATGTAAGGCTGTGGTCCATGTCTGGAACCTACTATAGACGGAAGTGTGGAATGATGCCAAAATGCTTTTCTTCATCTTGAAAGTACATAAATCTGCATACAAACACTTGCCTCCCATCCCCCCACCACATAAAGATCATGTGCAGTACAGGACAGCAGTTCAAGAGCAAAGCTTTCGAATCTGACAGGCTGGGGCTTGTATCCTTGCTCCAGTTTCTACTGTTTGTGTGAACTTGGGCAAGTTTCTTTACATAAGGCCATGCTTCCTCATCTGTCAAAAAGGCAGTTTTGCTCAGTGCTGCTGGAAGGATTAGGCTTTATGAGTGTCTGGCACAAAGCCTGGCGTACAGTAAGACTCAAAAAATGAAAGCTATTCTTTTATTATTATTCTTGTTATACCTTAATGCAATTAGTATCCCCCCTCCTCATGTCATGGCCTCACCTTTGTGTGGCATCCTCAGGATTACACCACTGTGCACACAGGGTGGAGTGGTCTGAATAATTAGCCACAACATATGACTCAGGAGTCCTTAACCAAGACATACTCTCACGCTTAGATGGGCATAGCCTTAACCCTCATGCCCACCTCATCTACTCCAGACTGAGACTAAGGAGAAGCAGCCCAAGTCAGATACAGTTTTCTCTACTCATGATCTCAGATTGTTCGGCATTTACCTTTAAACACCAGGTAAAGAGTCCACGTGATACTATTAGTGATACTTAGCAATAGAAGAATGGAAATACACATAGAGGCAAAGAAACAAAGGGGAATATCAACTTCCTTGGGAATTATGGTGGGGAGGGAGGGTGTTAGGAGATGCATATAACTTACTGGGAAACCTTAGAGAGAACAAACTTTGTTTTAGATAAACTTTTCTAAAGTAAAACAAAACTCTACATTAAAAATTCAGATGTCAAAAAAAAAAAAAAATTCAGATGTCAAGTCTACTTACATCTAAAAACAAGATTAAAATGAAATCTTGTAACATTAGGAACCATAAGGAGAGAGGAAAAGTTAGGAACTTGCACTTTCAGAATGTAAGACTCTGCTGAGACTCTGATGTTAACCCTACTTGAACCAGCTGGAGTATCTGTAGAGGAGCTTCAAGTGTTCAGTATCAAGCAAGCTTAGTGGCTACGATTATTGGAAATGAAATGCATGTACTAGCAGATACTAGATAACTGTGGCCCATTCACTTATAAAGGGATGTGGGAGGATTTTACTAATAGAACATATCAGATATAGATTCTCCTCATGTGTAGCTGCTAATCTAATAAGATTTTATTTTTATTTTTATTTTTTTTGTCTTTTGTCGTGACCGGCAATGGGATCGCAACCCTCGGTGTTGCGCCCGTACCGGACCGGGACCGGCAACGGGATCGCAACCCTCGGTGTTGCTCCTGCACCTTGCTCAGCCAGTGAGTGGCCGGTCTGTATGTGGGATCCAAACCCTCGGTGGGAGCGCCACCACGCTTCCCAAGCGGCGCACTGTAGCAGTGCGCCACCGGGCTGGCCCTAATCTAATAAGATTTTAGATAGCAGCTAGGTAAGCTAAAAGCAAGTTCTGGGGCACTTTCTCGCACAGCACAATGGTTATTTATGTAACACAATATCACTGTTCTTCCTCACACCCACACATTCTTCTGCAAAGCACTTTCTTTTTTTGCAGTGATGGGAGCAGAGAGGGGACAAAATGATTTAATTCTAATACTGTGTTCTATATGCAGAATTGGTTTTATAACATGAACAGACCTCAGGGAATCATCTATTGTTTTAATTCTTCATTCAGTATGTTGCATGGGCTTTTTGGAAAAACCAAATGTGCAATAGCAGTCATTACTAAACTCTTTTCTAAAAGCTAGTGACAGCTCTGAATAGCTAGAAAGAAAGGAGTACTGCCTGAAAGGTAAAGACCTAAGTTCTTCCAAAGTTTAAGGAAACTAGAAGAGAGCTTAAGTCACTCAACCATTTATATCAATTGAGCTTAAGGTCCAGAGGTCTAAACATTTTGGTATATATTATTTGTTTCCTCTATTTTCCAAAGTCCCTACCTAAAGAAATGAAGTTCTAGATTGGAATGAAATGTGTCTAAAGCAATCAATAGTTGTGGTTCAAACTTCAGATGCACCTTTGAAACTGGTTCCCTCCTCTCCTTGCTTCTCCTCCTCCTGTACCACTTAAAGCAGAAGGTGTTATTCTTGTCCTAAGAGAAGGCATTTCACTGGCTCAGTACCACAAAACTACTACTGTATTAACAGTCGTCTGAATTCTTATTTCAAATGATCATAATTTTGTGAAGGTAACCACAGATCTAGTTGAATCCTTCAATTCTGTGGTAGAGGAATAACCACCAATTATTTCAATCCTGCCTCTGCCCCAGTTTTTATCACTTGCATTTTTATTTTATTTTTTTATTTTTTGCTGGCTACTTAGGTAAACCATTTATTCTCAAACACATTCTGGCTATCAGCCTCTTGACCATATCACTGAGCAGTAACATCTCAAAGAAAAATGTTCAGATGCTGCAATAAAAATGGCAGTTGGCACAATGCACGATGCATTGCATGGGGATGATCCTAATATGAGTCAGATGCTGTTTGAAATAAGGCATGAAAAATTAACAAAGAAAGGGCAACAGAATCAAATATGAGGAAGCAGACTGCATCCACAGAAATACTAAGGCTACACTGCTCGCACAAACACTGCTCTCCCTCCCCTTCCTGAAGCTTGGCAGATTCTTAGCGCTTCTTCGTGCAGGCAATTCCCATTTGACTTTCCTTCTCCCCAGCCTTTGCCTTCTGGTCTGCCAGCAGATCTCAAGTGTCCACAGGTTCTACTGGATGTCCTTTCACCATCGCAAGACCAAACTCCTTTTTGAGATTCCTCCACTCACTCCAATTTCCCAGCTGTAAAGCCACACGACAGGCAGTAGGGAAAGCTCTCGAGTGCCTGCGGTCCTGTGTCACTTCATTCCCTTCCAGCACCACTGTCAGCCAAATGCAGGTCATAATCACAACCTCCCAGCACTTGGAGGCTCACATCGGCTTTAGCATCTGAGGCGTGATCTGGAAACCAGCTAATGTAACACCTCTCCCTTTCTGTCATTCTTCATTAGCATCCCAATGCTGGTTTCTCTGCACACCCATCCTGCAAACACATCTGTGCTTTTTCCTCTCCTCTCCAACCCCATGTCAACTATCCCAGTAACCAAACAGCTGAACCCTTCCTACTGGCCTCTTTGGGGCAAATTCCCACCTACCCTCAACTCCTTGGAAGGACATGTGCTCCACCTACTTGCCTTAACTGAAATGTGCCTTGCCCCGGAAGTGCTTCCTTTACAGTCACTAAGGTAAAGCTGCTTTATTCTAGCATGCCTCCATAGCCCCTGGGGCCAAGAAGACAGTGCTGGTGGTTCTTGGATCCTGCTGCTGTTTCAGGATCATCGGTTCACACTTCTACATCTTTGAGGCCATGCCCCCTGACTACATACCATGCTGCAGGCCTCCATGGCAGTTATCTGTTCACTTCTGGAGGTCAAGTCTCAAGATTCATCAAGCCTTATTATCTGAAGAGCACTCGGCACATACACAGACTCTCAATTTAGGTAATTAAAAAAATTATCACAATTTTTAATAAAAATAAGATCTTTTTCATAATGAGATAAAGATAGCATTTGCAATCTTTTACTGAGGTTATCTACCTTTGCTTCACTGGTGGAGGGTTTCACAGTCAGCTAGTTTCTCCTCTTGTTCTTTGACCTACTAGCTACTCCTTCCTAGCCTCCTCTGTGGGCTCATCTTACTCTACTGCCCCTCATAAGTTGTTTTCTCTAGGGCTGGTATATGGGCCTCTTTTCTTTGTAATAAATCTCTGACATATTGCGTGTGTCCAAGGTTTCAACTCCGCTACCAATATTTCTCCCAGGTCTCACATCTGAGGTCCAAATCCATATAACCCAATTGCCTTTTGAACTTGTCAACTAAAGTACAGATTCATCCAGTGATCACATTCAAAAGTGAAGCCACCACCTTCCTTTCCCCTTGCCCCCAATGGCCAGTATTGCTTTCCATAAAAGCAAGCGTCTTCATGCAGCCAGCCACCCAAGTCAGACACCTGGAATTCATCTTAAATGCCTTCCTTTTCGGCCGGCCCGTGGCTCACTCGGTAGAGTGCGGTGCTGATAACACCAGGGCCGTGGGTTCGGATCCTATGTAGGGATGGCCAGTTTGCTCACTGGCTGAGCGTGGTGCTGACAACACCAAGCCAAGGGTTGAGATCCCCTTACCGGTCATCTTTTTCAAAAAAAAAAAAAAAAAAAAA